ATTTTTGCTTCTGGTGGGACAATTTACATGCTGGAAATATTTTGGGAGCTCTTTCCTTAAATTTGCTTGATTGAAATACCCTAAAATAATGGGAAGGGAATCTGGGTGTTTGGCTTCAGCCTGCATAATCTGATCAGCTAGAGTTCCTATTGCCTTGCTTACACAAGCTTGTGGAGGAACATACACAGCTATTAGGAGAAATGAGGAAAACTCACATGGAGAATAAAATGGCTTGCAGTTGATATGTAAAGACTCTAATTTTCATTACAGAATTTATATATTATAGTTATATCCTGAGACCAGCTGTTGTTGATATATAAACATAATCCTTCACTCTTCATTTTACCTGATGTCTCTTCAATTGTGTCTGATGTAAATATCTGAAATCCTGGGATGTATATGCTGTTGTCATCATGAATTTCTGCATTAAGTTAGGTTTCAGTGAAACAAAGAATTGCTAAGTTGCAGAAATCAGAATTGTATCGATTTAAAAGGAGTATTTCATCCATCTTGTTAGCAAGTGAGCGTAAATTAGTCAGAAAAATTGAATGGAGAGGGTCCCCCCCCATTCCTTAGTCTATTTAAAATTCCTGCTCTTTTACCTCATCTCCTTTTTCGGCACTGCCTCTTCTTTCCTTTGTTTGTTGTAATCCATAGCAACAGGGAATTAGTTAGAATTTCTCTGCATTTGCGAACGGGGAGGGATGAGGAATCAGAAAGCTGCTCCTTAAAGAAAAATTGTCAAATTCTTAGCAGATGGTCTCGTGAGTATGAAATCCGTAGTGAATTGCAGAGAATAATAAAGAATAAAAAAACTATTAGAGAGCATTTCACTGAGGCAGCTGTCATCGTCGCCATCCTGGATGTTGCTTTAATTTAATTAATTTAAGTAATAAATATATTTTGAGTTATTTAAATGCACATATTTTAAAGAGCCCAGAATCATTTGATGTGCAGAACACTTTTCATATGCAGCATTTATAATATATTTCTCTTTTTATTGCATTGTAGCTTTGTAATTTCTTGAGACATTCCACATTTAATGACAATAATGAAGAAAAGATGACATTTGATGAAGATGGGAATTTAATAGCTGGATTTGATGTAATCAATTTTATTTTTTCTGAAAACCAGACAGTAGTGAAAATAGGACGGATAGATCCATATTCTACTCCAGACAAAATATTAATCATCAAGAAAGATGCCATAATATGGAGTAGCTGGTTTAACCAGGTAGGTTCCAGGAATTGATTACTTGGTAATCTTTGTTCCCTGTGTGATCACTGAATCTTAACCATTATTTTAAATCTGGTTGAATTATGAAAGAGATGCAAGATAGCTTGTTATGGAACTTTGGTCTTATTCATCAATATAATATATCATAACTGCTCTCTAGTAGATGTGTTAAGTTCATTATTAAGTAGAGTTAAATCTAGTAAGTTAAAAATCTAGTAAGTTAAAAATCACATTTTCCTAAGATGAAATATACAGATTTGGACAAAATAGGCATTATTTCAAAGCCAACAATGTATAATAATTTTCTTACTGAATATACTTCTACATACAACTAGGGCTGACAATTAATAATACCAAGGTTGACTAATACCAGGAATATGTGAACACTCTTCAAACCTTTAGAAAAAAAACCTAGAGGGGTTTAGGTTCTCTGATTTATCCCACTAAACAAGAAAGGAATAAAAGAATTTGTTTTATTCATTAGTTTCAAAATGTAAAAAGAAATCAGAATCAATAATAAACAGATAATAGAACTGGTAGGATTCTTTTTTAAACAATTATTTTCATTTTTTTAAAGTTAAATACAAATCTCCACCCCCCCCCAAAAAAAAACACCAGAAAAAAGAAAATTAACAAGGAGAAAGAAAAAACCAAAGAACAAAATATTTTAAAAGTATGTTTAAAAAAAACCCCATAAACACATCTACACATATTATCCCAAGTAGTTGAATACTGGATATATTGCAATAATATTAGTTTCCCACACCTTGTGAAACAGGCCAAAAAAGTTTCAAAGTTCTAATTCTATCTACAAATTATTAACCTGACATCTATCTACTATATTAATGACCAAAATTGTTAACAATAGAACAACAAAGAAACAAGAAGGTCAAAAGTAATATATCAAGTCCCTCTGTTATCCAGCTGGTGTTCAACTGGTAAGAAGTTTATCTTGGCTTCTTATATGTCCCCAATCATCTCAAAGGTTAATTCTGATTTGCTTTGGATTCAATATTTTATCAATTATTGTCTAATTAAATATAGTAGATCCAGTCTCCATTGTCAACCTATCTTCCCCCAAGAGTCCAACTGAAGTTGTTTTCAAGTTGAGTATAATAAATCCATTCTCCAATCTTTTTCATTTGAGCATTCAGTCAGTTTTCTGATACTATAAAATAATGGAAATCTGAACTTCAGAAGGTATGCATAATCCCCTCATACAATTCTATGTTTATAACATCTATATCTCTTTCAATCTCCTTCACTGAATCTATTTTCAAATCAAATTGCTTTTGTGAATCTAATTTAACTCCAATTACTTGCATTTGAACATTTTTTGCAAGCATTATTGTTTCATCAAACTCTTTAAAAAAGTTTTCAACTTGGATTTGCATATTATTAAATGGTAATAATGTAATCTGATACTTTGTTGCTCTGGAGTAACTTGGCAATGGAGAGACAGGGAGAATATTCCTCAAAATAGAAGTAGCAAGAATGTTTTAGATGTTTCACTCCAGAATAAAAAAGATTTTTGAAAAAAATAATCTCCAAAATGTAGTGAAAATCCAGTATAGATATAAAGCAAATCCAAATCCTTCCACTACTCCAGGGCATATTTTTCTTTACACAAAACAAAGGATATTCAAAAAAGGCAACAAGAACAAAGGGAAAAAAATAAATAAATAAAATCCACTAGGGGGTTAAAATAAGTATACATTCAACCAGCCAGTAAACTTTTAGAGATAAGAAACAAAGCAAAACAAAAGCTTTAAAAAGTTAATACCCATTCATGCTCAAGAAAATGTTCTCCCAAAAGGAAAAAAATGGATGACCTGGTTTTCTGTAATTCCCACTAGGAATTGTAATCTTTGATATTTCTTATCTAGGGTGGGTCCTTGGTCATCTGAAAGAAATATTTGGTCATTCCTAAATGCTCTCATTCAAAACCATAGAGCCGGACTGCTAAAAAAACTACTCTGGCAGCAAAATCAGCAGATTGTCAGCAGGAGAAAAAAAAAATCTCCTTTCTGTTTAGCAGCCAGTTTAGAGAGGTGTTCCAGAACTGGGAAGATTCTTGAATGTTGCTAGTTGTGCAACCTGTATTCAATTTATCTTCCTCTGGCCATTTGTTAATGTGCTTCTTAAAATGTCATTACTCAACCAATCACAGTTATAATCACATCAGAATAAAATGGGAGGATCCTTTTTCTGTTATCTGAAAATTGTATCTCTTGGAGTAGACAAGAGACAATTAATATTTCTATTCCTTTTTATGCAGACACAATTGTTCTTTTGACTCTGAGTCCACTTGTGAATATTATAGTACTTTTACTATTACATGTCCTTTAAAAGGAATCCTTTCTAAATCATATTCATGTATATTACTGAAGTTGGATACCTTTTTTAAAAAAAAACTGTTATGATTCTTGAAAATTGAAATTGATCTTACAATGAGTAAGATCAATGAGCATATGACATAGTCTGTTAAGGACAGCAAAATAACAAAAGAAACTCTTTATTATGTTACATTATAAAAATATTTGAAAATCTAATCCATAGATTTTATGAGGCAGTTCAATATTTCAAGAAGAATATACCCATGGATGTATTACAGATATATTACACAGAAGGAAAAGCCCCCCCACCAAAAGACATATTTCTAAGGGTATCAGTTTTAAGACCATAATTTATGTTGTTGGTTTGTTTCTTTACAAGCTAGTCACAGCCCGTTTCTCTCTGTACGCCAAGCTGTTTCCCAGGTTCTAGTAAGCAAGTCATAGAGGGTAAGCCATTCTGCTGCTACTCTTGTAACCCATGTCCAGAAGGGAAAATTACAGAAATGGAGGGTAAGGATAATTCTGTTGCTTCCATAAAGATGTATTGCGTGTACATTATTTATACATGAGTGTATATGCATGTATGCATGTGCCATACATAGATATATGTACAACACACACACACACACACACACACACACACACACACACACACACACACTTATTTGAATGAATGAATAAATGAAATGGAAAAGACCTTGGAGGTCTTCTAATCCAGACCCCTGCTCAAGTAGGAGAACCTATACTATTTCAGATAAGTGTCTAGTCTCTTCTTAAAAACATCCAGTGATGGATGGAACACTCATGATTTCTGGAGGCAAGCTGTCCCATTTCCTATTTGACAATTTGTAAAGCCAATTTTGGAAACGTGTAAAATCTCATCATCCTGGCCTTAGTAGAATATTATTGTCATGCTGTTCCTTCCAGAAAGATATTCATTATATATTAATCACACACACACACACACACACACACACACACACACACACACACCTATTTTCTGTTTGTCAATTTGTAAAATCAATTTTGTAAATATGTAAAGCAGCTTCCTCCTCCTCCTTTTCGTGAGGCTTTATAAACTGTATTTGTTTAGGTAGGCATTAAGGTTAAACTGGAAAAAATATTGAGACCTGCTTTATTGCATAGATATAATATCTAACAGACATGATTCCATTCCCTAAAATAATTTATATAAGACATGGCCAATATTTTTGCATGGTGCTTTCAAATAGAAGTATAATAATTATGTTATTGTAATTGTTCATATCTGATGCATAAGAGATGCATATCTGTTTTCATAGACCTGGCCATAACTAAGACATTTATTTCCTATTTGGAGTAAAGCATAATGTAATATATAATATTATAAAGACTATAAAGATTTATGAATCCATATGAGTTTGATGATACATCCTTTCCATTTCAGATATGAGTGACTGTTATGATTGCACAGATGAAAATTATCCCAACCAAAAGCAGGATTCATGTGTTCCCAAAGATATAAGTTTCTTGTCATATAAAGAACCTTTGGGGATCATTTTAGCCTGTTTGGCTCTTTTCTGTTCCGCGATCACATTTCTGATACTAAGAACATTTTTAATGCATCACAACACTCCCATCATCAAAGCCAGCAATCGGGATCTCACCTATATTCTTCTTGTCACCCTTTTGCTTTGCTTCCTGTATACATTAGTATTCATCGGTCAGCCCAGTAAGGTGGCATGCATTCTCCGTCAAACTGGTTTCAGCATCATCTTCTCTGTCGCTATTTCCTGTATTCTGGCCAAGACTATTACTGTGGTCCTGGCTTTCATGGCAACCAAGCCAGGAAGCAGGATGAGCCAATGGATTGGGAAAAGATTGGGCTATGCTTTTGTTTTATCTGGCTTCTTAATTCAGACTGGGATTTGCATTATATGGCTGTCCATCTCTCCTCCTGTCCCAGATGCTGACCTGCACTCAGGGAATGGAAAAATTGTCCTACAATGTAAGGAAGGGTCATTGATTTTGTTTTACTCGGCAAGGTGTTATATGGGCTTCTTGGCAATTACTAGTTTTATAGTAGCTTTCTTTGCAAGGAAATTACCAGATACTTTTAATGAAGCCAGGTTTATCACCTTCAGTATGTTGATCTTCTGCAGTGTTTGGATATCCTTCATCCCAACCTATCTGAGCACCAAGGGGAAATACACCATAGCTGTGGAGATCTTCTCAATGTTAGCCTCAAGTGCTGGGCTGCTGATCTGTATCTTTTTCCCCAAATGCTACATTATAGTTCTAAGGCCAGAGTTGAATAACAAGCAGATAAGAAAAAAGAGAAGTAGTTAAAAGTGCCCAAGAATGTAACTGTAATCTTCCTTGCAGATGGAATTCCATATTTATGTGTATTTTATAATGGAAATTGTGCTGAATATTTTTCCTAACATTTATATTAATTAAGTTGTTAAAAGTATGTATTTCATTTGGAACCCATTGATTCTGAAGACACCTGGAAAAATAATCAACAGGTATCTTCAAAGCCATTTTTCCCCTTCCAAGAGACCTTTTTTCAGTTCATAATATTAATAAAAAGTTTGGGTGGTAACAATGATAATAAAATTCATAGAAAACATTTTACCACAATTTGTATTGTACAGAATGATTTTACAGATAGCCCTCAACCTATGACTATCCGTTTATCACTATTCATTTAATATCCATTCAAAGTTACAATGGTTACAGTGAAAAAGTGACCAAGCACCAGCCTTCACACTGTTATACTGCATCCCCATGGTTACATGATCAAAATTTGGGCATTTGACCACCTGTGTTTATAATAGTTGCAGCATCCCAATTCAAATGATTGCTAGTTGTGACCGTCCTATCTGTCTTCCTGCAAGCAAATTTAATGGTGGAAGCTGCAATTCACATAATGATTACATGATTTACTTAACAGGCATGGCGATTGTCATAACAGAAAAAGATTGCAAAAATCAGATATAATTCAATAATTTATGACTGCTTCTCATTAAATGAGCCACATCTTATAAATATAAATACAGATATTTTAAATTATTCAGATTTAAATTCTACTGATAAATAACTTTTTCTTTTACCTGAATAGTACATTAGAATGAATTCTATAGCAACAATTTTTTACTTTAAATGTTGAATTTAAAGGAAATTTCTATATCCCAAAACATGGCTAATCAGTAAATCCCAAAATCAAAGCTTCAGTTTTATTCTGTGTCATGACTTCCAATGTTGAAGTAGTTTATTAATTATATACCACACAAATTATTTGTCTGTTTCATTCAAAACCAGGATCTTAGATTTTTTCTGCTTTCTTAAAATTATAATAGAATAATTTCTATTTCTTTTATGCACATTGGTTTCATTAGAAATATCTTCACAGAAACATTTTTGGTAGATATTTGTAATGCAAAATAAAGTAATATTTACTTGTGTGTGGAATGCCATTATAGTAGAATGGTTGAGACTATATTCTTAAGGCATACAATATATATTTTTCCTTTTGCTTCCCAGTTGCAGCATCAACAAAAAAAGTGAACATGGTTTGGAGGATCTTGGAAATTTTGGGTATGTGATAGAAAATAATGCTACTTGGATTGGAGAAAATATAGTTTTCTCACAGTGGACTTTAAACATAGTGGGCTTTAAATATTTGGATTTGAGCTATTAATGCTATTTGAAAGAATATCATATGAAGCAAAATAAAAAAGTGATAGAAGAAAAGAGAAAAGAAGAAAATTAAACAAAACTTTAAAGTTTGGACAATTGGGAAGACAAATAATTGGAAAATCAAAAGAATTTTTAAAAATATAAACTTAGGGATTTGGAGGTATAATTATGAGATTGATTAAATTTTACTAATAACTGGCTCTGTGGGAGTGTTTAAATATTGGGACGTTGGAACTATAGAGGGATATTGGGTAATTTTTATTGAATTGCAATAAAATGGATAACCAGGGGATAGTAGAAGGATATGAAGAAATAATTTGATGCTTAAAAACATGTATGAAACTATATAGAACAATAATGTAAGGGGATTTTTTAAAGATAAAAAAATGAGTGTAGAAGCCTCTCAACAACTGGGGGAAAAAGATGACCAAGATATTCAAAAAATAGATGAGAAATTAGAAGAAGTGGAAGAGGAAAATCAAAATAAGATGCAAGAAGACAAAAATAATGAAAAGAAAGGATTAATAAGTAGAAACAAAATAGATAACTCCTTAAAAGTTTATAATACAACAGAGAGAAAAGTTTAGAGAAAAACCAAACAAAAATTTCTTCAAAAGGAAAGATTTAAGGATGGGTGTTTAAAGGATGCAGCAGAAAGAGATAAAGGGCAACCTGAAAGGAACACTTAGTGGGTACAAAAAGTTATAAGATTCCAAGAGAGAGAAAGAAAAGGGTGATTAAACAGTTAATAGATGATGGAACTCCAAAAATATTAAGAGATGATGGATAGCAATAAAATGCATTAATAAAATGGAAATGTAGAAAATATAAATAGGGAAAATAGTAGCACATATACTAATAGATGATAGTATTTACTACACTTAAAAGTAAGCGAAGGGTAGAAGGTGGAAGTTTAGGATTAGGCAATTTAATTGTATTATTAATATTAACAGTGTGTTAAAATATATTGTGAATTTAAAACTTTTAAGGTTTAGAAATTGTGGGGATTTTGAGATATAATCCTGGGATTGACTGAATTTTGTTAATATTTGGTCTGATTAGTAGTTTTAGATATTTGGCATATTGAAAGTATGGTGGAATAGTGAGTAATTTTTAAAATATTAAATATAAGTGACTTAATAGGGGATAATAAATACATGGTGAAAAGAAATGTTATGTTTAAATGAATTAATGGAGAAAATGAGAAAGAATTATAAAGAGAGAATAGTATTGTTGAAGTTGGAAGATTAGGATTATATATACTTATTTGTATTATCATTGTTAGCACTGTTTAAAAAGGACATTGACCCAGTAAATGCACTGTCCACAAAATATGTATGCTGTGAAAGGGAAACTGTAAATAAAACATAAATTGAAAAAAATAATGCTACTTCCATCAATATTATCTACTGGAAATAAATTTTTCTAAAAATATAGGTTTTCAGTTTAGAAGAAAAAGGCTATTTTATTTCTAATTTAGATTAGATATGCAGGAATAAATGTTTCTTAGACTTTCTACATGTTGGAAATTTAGTCCTTCAGTGTCAGTAAACTGTTAAAAAGAAGGCTAACACTATGAAAAATGTCTTTCGACTTTGGGTTATTTCTCTTTCTACAGCTCATTTTCAATAACAAAAAAAAACAATAACAGCAGCAGCAGCAGCAGCAGCAGCAGCAACTACTACTATTGACATGGAGTTCCCATACTGAATACTGAACAAAAAATAATTCCCATCCTTCAATTAGAATTAAATTAGCTGACATAAAATTTTAATTTATTCCAAAAGATAAACCCTGATCAATAAAAATGATGAGAGCAGATAGGGCTCATCCAAGGACGCTCTTCAGTTAGTTATAGATTCCACTTGATCTGGAATTCTGCATTGTCTCTATTAGATAGCAACTTAATGAAGTATTCAGAATAGGAAATGTTATTGCTAAATACAATCCATGATAATAAAAAAGCTATTTTCAAATTTTGGTTAATCTTCTTGAATATCTCAAAAGCATCAAAATTATTTTTGAGCTATCATAATATGCATTTTACTTTATAACAACATAGAAGTGTTTGGAAAAAATCATTAATGAAATTGACTTGGAAAAGCATAACAGCAAATTCCTGATGATGTTACCTAGTTTGCTAATGAAACGTCTTCTAGAAAATAACCAATCTTAAAAGTACCAAGTATCCTCTGGTTCAACCCTGAGCTACAGATATTCTCTTCTACCAATGCATTATTGTGCTTTTCCAACATCTGACCATGGCAGGATGCTGACAATGCAAAAATTCATGGCAGTCATGTTACTAAGAACATGCAGAGTTCATAAATATCCCAGACGTGTTAATCTATTTATTTAATAATCAAATGAACCAGACATTTCTTTACATATATATGTAAAAAGTTTAACAGATTACCCCAAAGATAAAACTAATCTTCCAAACCCTTTGTTAACTATCTGTCATTATATTTAACATGTAGAAAATCCACAAATTACTCTCAGTCTCTTAGAAACTTGCCTAATCCACTATCTATAATCAAGGCAGTTAATTGTCCTATCTTATCCTTGCAATGCTTAGCATGTACAATCCTTGCAGTGGTCACCATGCAAAAAAA